GCTGGGAAAAAACAACTGGCTCGCTTTCTGGAGTAAGTACAAAGCCTACACAAATATACATGAAGCATAATAAAAAAAACTTGTCATTGTACAGCACTGCATATTGTAACGAGTGACAAAATTTCGCTGGTTTTGCATTTATCAAACTAGATATTCTGTTTATTTAAACGTGTACCGCTTTTTATAGATCACGTGAAATTGCATCAGCGACGAATGATCAAAAGGGACCCGGCATCCCGATGGACTGAGACCTTGGACGTGGAAAAGATCCAGGGAAAGCTGCGGAAAAGCTATAGCGACCGCATTCGCACTTTTGCGGAAATGGAGAAGCTGTTTTCTTAAGGTTTTAGACTTTCGGGTTTTGGACGCGTGTTTTTTACAATATACAGCCCACTGCGACATTTATTTTATTTTATCTTGATGTATCGTAATGTGCTGCGTGGTTTTATTTTGGCATTGCAGTGGAGCGGTGTGTTCTTGTTTTAGAATGGTGAATTAGTTTTCTTCTAAGTGTACTTGTGTTCAGTATGCAGCGTTAATTTTGTTTCTGTTAAGGTTATTATTTATCAGTTGTTTCATTAGTGCTCTTGATTATCAAAATTCGAGCCAATTAAATTTGCGCTGATAACTTTGCAACGTCCAAAATTGTGTATAATAACATGATTCGCTACAGCAAACGATTAATATAAATATATTGCAACAGCAGCCGGTTAAACTGCTGTTCTAGTGGGATGGTTAATCCACCGTACCACGATGTAGCGGCTGTTAAGGCTAACGGACAAGCAAAAGGCTGGCACGGTCAGCAGCGATGCTGACCGGAAGTAAGGTGGCATTACACAACTACACTGTGTGAGATGAGACGATTCATCTCGATCCCCCATCAATAATAAACATATGAGTCATAGTAATATCGGTACATTCATTTAGACGTTTACTTAGACGGGAAACGTATGGATCACAATCACCCTTAAATCAGTGTTTTTTGTCTTGAAAAGACAAAATTTGTCCTGGAAGTATTTTGTCGCAAGCCGACATAACAGAACAATTTTGTCGGTACAAATTGTGCCCTCCCGCCCCCATCGTTGCGGCTGTTTTCTAAATATTTTATTATGCGTACTATTGATTGTATTCTGTAGTACGATACTATTACAGTAACTTTAATGAGCTTGTGCGGATTCTTTTGTATGGGCGCTTTTCTTTATTAATCAGCAGGGCGATTTAGATTTAGTAGTTGTACATGTGGTGTATGTATAAATGTTGGAAGAACAGTTTTGACTGATACAGAAATGGCACCGCAACGACCATTTAATTATTCCCGGCAACGAACATTTAGTTAATTTTGGGTAAAATTATATTCATCCTTTCCTGGAAACAAAATTTTGCTGACTGCGTTCTCCGGACAGTTACAGGTTTCTGTGTGGATGATTTGTACAAACCATCCACTCCAGTTACCCTTGATTAGAATAAAACTCGTGGTTCGATTGGGAAGCAGTTAGAGATTCATAACGGTGCAATTCGCACAATAACTGTGCAACAATTCGCTGCTTTCCAAAGCAAAGAAATAAGCATCAATTCGTAAAATGCGGCTGCACTGTTCAAACGATTTCAAAACCTTTGCCTAAAAGACGCAGTGACACAGCCTGATGCTCCCGGTTGTTATCCCAATAAATTAAATAGATCCATATGAGCTGCGGCTGATAATTATTTATTCGGAAATGTAAGACCAGTGAAATCAAAGATTCAGTGGTGCAGTGCGGTATGAAGCTTGCGATCGACTGAAATATCAAGTTTTGAGTTTGCAACTTTGCATCGCGCTGACAACTTTTGCCGCGCGCAATGGAACTTTACATATGGCGCATTGAGCCGTTGCGACGCGACTCCGTGTGAAATCCTGATAACTTGTGATAAGAGACTTTTTTGATACCAGTAATATTATCACGGACGCGTCCGTGCGCGTCTGCTATGGGAGTTAAGCTATTAACTGTTTAATGTCTTCTGTTAATTAATCATATGGTTAATGAACGGAAACAGGAAAAATGAAATGAAAAACGTTTTACAGTACTTTCGTGGTGTTCGTTATATACCGTAAGCACGGTACAAAATAATCTGGGTACAAAATAATCTGTGTATTAATACAGTATCTGTATGCACGGTACACAGATTATATTGTACCGTGCCGTAAGTATACATATACAGTAATATAAGTAAGCATATAGCGATAACATGGGTACATATGTTGTGTAAGTATGTGTATCGAGCTAAATTTAGCTAGATTAGTTTAACTTTACCGCCGGTATACCAGGTATTTTGGCTTTTGACGTAATTTATTGCTACATATATCACAAGATCATAAGAGCCGTTATTTTAAAATTTAGCAGTAAGTGCTATGGAAAAAAGCGGACCGTTTCGGTTTTGTGCTTACCGTGATTAGGAATCGGTTTAATTTACAGTCACAAGGCGATTATGTTTTTAATGTATTTAAGTAATCACCGTTATCGGTTAGTATTTCATGGCGCATGTGAAAATTACATATGCGGATATGCCGACTTTCATTCACAGTGTCTAATTATTTTTTAGCTGCTCCCAAAATTCAGAAGTCCATAGGTCATACTATCTCTGTTATTGTGCGTACTCTCTGTAGTCTGCGTAGATCTCTCCAGATTTGTGAAGTGAAGTATTTATAAAGTGATATTATATGAAGTATTTTAGATGTTTATACGAAGTGCGGAAGTGGTACCTATATATACATATAATTATATAAGTACGTATATGCAGATGCATAATGATGCATACTGCGCCTTATACATAATTACTGATCAGAGGCAGATTTTATAACCAACTATCAAGAACAAAATATGAAGAAAAACCTAATATTTTAAGGTACTTGTACACCAAGATTCATAGAGGTTTTTCCGTGTATACTACTCGTATTTTATGGAGGTTTATCAATATTATAATAGCGTTTTTTAATAATGCGGTCGAAAGTCCCGTTACGCATTATAATTATTATACCGTACGTAGGTGCGCAAGCAAAAAACGCGCAAAATGGGTGACTGGAAAGTGCAGCGGCTGATCACCCTATTTTCCCAGTTTTTCACAATGACGATGCATGAGAGCGTATCCCTTTTTAAAAATTAAAAAAAGGAAAAAATTTTAATGTAAAACATAACAAAAAATCAAGTATATAAAAATACACAAAGTGTATGCAACTGAGCTTTTGTCGATAAAATACAGGATTACTAGTAGGTATGTGTATAAGATAGCTGCCGATAGGTGCTTGGCATCTGAAGTCAGTCTTTGTATTTTCGTACAAAATCTGCTGGCCACGACAATACTCGTGCGAAACGAGATAAAATTATAACTGCTAAGGCGTTATCAGTCAGCGCTGAAAGCGATTTGCATGAACCGACATGCAGACCTGTGTACCATATGCGTTTTTTTGTGAATCACTCATCCGAAACATATAAAACTGTCTTTCCATATAGATGTTATTAATAGGGCGATGTGATTACAAACAACAACGCAAGACATGGCAGTTATGGCAAGATTCTTATCAGCAAGTAAACTGGGCAAGAAGGCAAAAAGCAAGGTTAGCTAGCTAGCAAGATGCAAATCCAAGAATGAATCTAGTGCGCAAAAGTAAAAGTCAAGAGCATCGAGATTGTAGCGGTAAAGCGTTAACGTTAAGACAATGAGATGCTGATTCACATGATCTTAATGAGGAAGACAAGGAACGAATGAACCAATAACTGATGTAGAAAAGCAATTAACAATCCCAACTGGCAGTACTACAATTTTCTATCGTTACAATATATTCTACTGAATTCGCAGTAATTATTGGCAGTGACCTGATATACGAAACACACATTTTACCGTCAAAAAGTGCATTTTTGCACTAGTACAAAAAAGTCGGAAAAAACTAAAAATTGTCGTTGAGCGGACAAATTTGTGTCTCACAGGATAAAAACGTAACGATTTAAGGAGTATTGTGAATCACATGTATCACGTGTCACCAAACGTACGAAAAAAAGTGCTGAAAAAACTATCATTGACACAAAAACTTTTAATAGGGTAATGTACTAACTAAGATAAAATAATCATGTACCACGACACTGTGACGACAGCATAGTCAATAATGTATTTAGAAATTTACACAAATTTTAAAATTTGAGAGAATATATCAGTCCACCCTTTAATAGCGGGCTTTAACCGATTCGACGAACAAAGTGTTCCGCGTCATCACAAAAGCCGCTGTGCTCACATTAAAATATTCTATTTTTTTGTGAATACAGTAGGACCCTTGTAACCACCACACCCCCTCTTGGTGTTACAACCATTGTTAAGAAGCGCAGTCATCCATGACTGTGTGCTAGCTTCTCTGTCGAAACTTTGGTATTTGTATTTTGTGATTTGGCTGCCGTTTGTAACTTCGTGTACGAATACAACAGGACATGTCACATTTGTTACCCACGCTTTTCACTCCTCTGTATGTACAGAGTACTACCATTGTGAAGGTGCGCCATCATTCGTGACCGGTGTGATCGCTGTTCTGTGAACAAACCTGGTAGTGTATTTTGAGATTTGGGTACCGTGGGTATGCATTTCCTATGCTGTCGTAGTTATTAAATAAAATATCGGCTGCCAATTCTTCGTTGATAACTTTCTAACTGCTTTCCACTGAAGCGACTATAATGGCCCATCAAGACAAGAAACGATTCCGCCAAGGTTATGTGTGGGGATACCATCGGTTCGGGAGGCCTCGGACTGCATTATTGGCAACATCTTCAGCAAACAACAGTGCCCGGCGGCGTGGCGCGCTATCCGGTGTCCCTGAACGGTTGGAGCGGATGTTAGAAAGCGGAGATTTGGCGGATGTGCAGTTCTCTGTCGGACGGTATTTCGGGCCAGCGAAGCTCTTCCGCGCTCATAAGTTAGTGGATGCCCTACATAATCAGAAATGAATTTTACTGAGATTCCCTGCTGGATTTTAACAGGTTCATGCTAAGCAGCGTGAGCGATACACCATGTTTAACGGTAGTATCCCGGAGAAATGCGATGGCCCTATCGACCTTCCCGATATCCATCCCGGCGCTTTCGAAAATATGTTAAGGTAAATATAGCAACTTCTGCACCTATAAGATTTCCTGTAGTCTGGCCGTTGTTCACTACAGTGCAGACCGTGGTTCACTTCGATATTAATTTTCTCAACCTTAATTAGGTCACTTTAATTTGCGATTTACTCGTACTTCAAACAAGGTATCACCCACAAAAGTATATAGCATACAGATACGTATATTATTAGGTACATGGCATTTTTATCGAAAACTGAAGAAACCAGGTTACTGTGAGCGTTTAACGGAAACAGATTAAATCTCCTAAGTCGTAGATTATTATAACCGATTCATTGGTACTTCTATAGGTATATTTATATGGATGCGCGGAATGAAACAGCAAGGAACGCTTTCCCCACGATGGTGTGCGCCGATAAATACGACTTGTCTATACTGGTCGACCGCTGCTTTAACTGCATCTTCACTCACCTCACTGTGAAGATTGGCGATGCCAACCGTTACATAATGCTTCTGGAAGACGTATGTGCAGCCATTTCTATAATAATTACGGATCGCTGCTGATTTTCCTTTAATTTTTGTAGAGGCGATAACGTGGGGTGCTACTATCGAAAGTGTGATGGAAAACTGTTTGCACTTCGTGGACGTACACTGTGAGGAAGTCTTCCAGGCGGAGCGGTTCACCCAACTGCAGCCCAAAACGCTGCAGATGATTCTGGAGCGTGACACGCTCTTTGCGGAGGAGAGGATCATCTTCGCGGACGTGGAAAGGTAATTATCAAATTCACACAGAAGTACAGATATAATCCGCATATCCGTAGTAAAGGCCAGCGATCCAGTACTCATAAAGAAAGCAGCGGCATATCTTTACATATACCATCAATATTGTCTCTACGAAACCGATGTCCGGGATTTTTCATCCCCGTTGCATTTGTGCTGTGCCAGCTATGCTTGCTAATAGTGTGCGGCACTCGCATTGCAGTCAGGCAGTCTAGAATGAGCGGGACAATATTTTTTTCCATAATGTGCATTCACTTTGTATTGCTTGAGCGTGACCCGGTGGTACCAATGGTACGCCTCAAAGTCCATGTACTTCTATTTTTATTTATAAATTATCACCAAGACAAGCGTAACCGAAATAAAATTACTAAAAAAACACTCATAACTAGAAAGATAGTGCATCTGTAGGTACGGTTGAATACTTCCACCTGCGCATTTAACAATCACATGGTATCGTCATCAAACAAAAATTTAAGGTGATTTCGAACAATAACAAGGAAACTGTGAAGCGTGAAGAGACGCATGAAGCATTATTCTCTGCATCAAAAATTGGCCTTTCTTTGTTTACAATGGTTTATGTATGGCAATATATGTCAAAGCTTATCTAAAAGGTCACACGAAGTAAGAATCAACGAATCAGTTGATTACAGACAGTGAAGTCTAAGCAAGATTTCCGTAGTACCCTAAATTATGGATGTCATAAGAGCCGGGAGTAGCCAGAAAGAATTGCCGTAAGAGGGTAGGTGTGAAAAATGTTTTAAAAAAGGTGGTGCGAGTGGCCAAAAAGTTTTGAAAGGTGGTGAGAAGAGTCAGAAGACTGACAGTAGCCAAACGTTAGCCAGTTAAAGGAGGTGTCAGGGTGGTGAGAATATCCATTTCCTAAATAATATTAATGTTTTGTTTGTGTGGCAATAAACTTGGCTGCATGCATTACGCAAAATATTACCGAGTATCTATTTGTTTATTATCTTACAGTACTGAAGTTTTAGTGTTGTGCATAGATGTTGTACATGTTGTACAGTACATGGTGGACATGTGAAGTTGTACATAGCAAATGTATGTTACTTACTACAGTACACTGTGCCTATAGATGGGCTTCGGCATTCTGTATTCGGAGCAATTTGGAACCTACACCACAGAACCGGCGACAGGCTCTAGGAGACATGTTCTTCCTAGTCAGATTCCCACTTCCCGCCCAACTCGCTGATGGTCCCTTGAAGGTAACCCACGGCGTGCAGTTAGCTGCCTTTTTGACAATTCCACCGGCAAAAGGTTTGTTTTCTATGGTTCACACTGCTTTCGTTTGTGCAGGATTCGATGCTGCTGCCAGCAGACTTGCAGGATATTCACCTTTACAAGCACGCCATGGTGAAGCCCCCGCTACGCTTCTCCACGCAGCCCCGACGATCCCCAGTCATCCGCGTTGGGCAGTGGGAGTGGAAGCATCAGGAGGAAGTTTTCGTGAAGGGACGACATATCTGGTATCCGGCGGTAGTGATCGGAATACGTGGATCGGAAGCCGTCTGCAGGATTCAATCACCTGACGACGAAGACCTGGTGAAGCGAGGCCCGGAGAATATCCTTCGGGCATCCGAAATCCTGACCGCTAACCGGGATATTTGTTATGGAAATGGTGGTTATCGGGGCGGGGATGCAGTGTATACCAAGTTAGAAGGAGGCTCCCATATTATCACTTTCGATGGCAGAGAACTTAAGGCTCGATTCAACGAAATTTTTCTCCACGTACGCACCACGAACAAGTGGATGCTTTGGCGAGAAGCTAATGATAAGAGCGAAAAGGAGAAGAGCATCAACGCCTCTACGAAGAAACGTCCACTGGATGCCGCTGACCTGGCTTAGATGCGCCATGTTATAGTGTAATACGCGTAATTCTGCCATATAATGTTTTTACACTAATAATGAATGCTTGAAAACATGGTTGTAGTGTTTACAGTTTTAAAAGCTTTATTATTAACCAATTTACAAATATAAATCTTTTTGCAAAACGATACCGCATCACATGGTTATTTTAATTTTTACAAATTTGACCATTGGCAAAAGTTAATTGTTCGAAATCCATTTTTTGTTTCTTCTTTTAAGTTCTCTCTTGCTGATCATACTTTGAGCTTGTGTGCTTTGCCTCGACGCTCTGTCTGTTCATTGCATAAACTAAACCAACAGAAATTTTCGTAACGTCAGTTTTCATCTAGACCGTTTACCTTGTCTTCCGCTGAACAATTTTGCCAATTATTTTGTGAAAAGCAGTGGCCGCCTGCCACTTTTGAAAAGCAGTGGCCGCGATTGAAGACTCATTGCAAGCGAAATCAAGTGCAATAGGGAGAGCTTGTGAGCGCCTGCAACTTCTTCCTCGCCATCATGCACTATATTTGCTCAGACACTGCTTGGGTGCCCTGAAAATAATATGTGCTTAGATGTTGCAATGCTTGGAAGCATCCACATCTGCTGTATCAAATTGATGAGTCACTGCGCCCTGTTTCCAAGAACTCAGTAACGTGCGGGTGAACCACGACGACTACCCATGTTGGAGGCAAGCGACTCTTCCAGTCAGTCGAGGAGGTATCGGCATACGACGAGCGGAGGAATTATCACTTCCAGCCTTTTTGGCTTCGATTCACCTGCATCCTGTTTGTTATCGTCGATGCTTCCTCACCTACCGGCTGTGGACGCTTCAAAGCAATTGAATTGTGGAAAGGTAAAGCCCGACAACCGGAAATGCCCGAAGTTGCCTTCCGAAAGCTTCAGAAAACATGGGACTTACCGCTGTGTAATGTGTCAGTTTCGGTTTTACTGGACTTGTTTCGCGGCGACAGCGTCAAAACAGCCCGTCTCCTTGCACAGTCCAGACCGGAAGCGGTATTTGGCTGAATGCGCTTCCTTCAGCCCACATCGGCAACCTGCTCGACGACGAAACGATGAAAATTTCGATTGGCCTGCGTTTGGGAGCGGATATCTGCGAGCCACATAACTGCACCAAATGTGATAAACATGTTGACAAGTTGGGCCACCACGGTTTATCATGCACCTACTCGGCCGGTAGGCATGCGCGCCATGGAGGGCTTAACAGTATTGTGTGCCGCGCTTGTGTTTCAGCTGGTGTCCTGCTAAGCTCGAACCACGCGGACGTCCTCCACAACAGATCAACGCCCTGACGGCTGTACAGCTTTCGCCTGGAAAAGAGGAATGTGTCTGGCCTGGGATGTGACGTGCGTCGACACAATGGCCCTTTCCCATCTTCCGTCTACGTCGATTACGGCAGGTGCTGCTGCTGTACAAGCAGAAGAAAAGAAGTATGCCTATCTGCAAGGGCGCTACATTTTTTCTCCGATCGCCTTCGAGACGATGGGTCCCTGGGGCCCGTCGGCTATCGCCATTGTGAAGGAGTTGGGCAAAAGACTTCAGGAGCACACAGGAGAGCGTCGATCACATGAGTTTCTGCGTCAACGACTATCGTTGGAGGTTCAGCGCGGAAATGCAGCATCTATCCTTGGCACGATGGACGGAGTGGATAGTTTAAACGAAGTTTTGCTGTTGTGATTAATATAGCGTGTTTCTTTCTTTATTACCATAACTGCGCGATGACTTTTAGTTGAACGCCGACTTCATCGACACTCTAAATATTATGTGCTATAACTACAATTAATAATCACTTGTACTATGCTTATGATATTATCGCTGTATCTGTGGAAGTGTGCCTGCTAAGTCATATCCGGTTCAAATATGGCCAGTCACGCTGTGAGTGTGTTCTTTGGACGATGACCGTCTTTTCCGCAACGAATTTGCTGTTGAACGGCACATCTGACAGTCACGTTCTCATTATTTCGGCAAGCACAAACCCTAGAGTACGTTTAAAGTTTAAACCATACGACTGCAGCCGTGGCAGAGACGTGGCGGAAGTTGTTACGCAAAATATGCTCCATACCAGACGGAAGGTTCAAAAACTATGCTTTAACCGGCACAGCTGTAGATGTCAAGCCATGAAAGAAAAGACTATCACTCTGCTACATAAGGACTGAATCAGCACTAGCGACAGTGTTAATCCAAGCAAAATTAAAATGCACATTGCAGAGCCTACAGTATATCTGTACTCTGTAGCTTCGGTTTAGTTTAGTGGCAGATAACACTGTCAGCGGCACCACCATAGGCTTTCCAAGTGATCTGGTTTCCGTTGTGGTCCACACACCAGGCACTCTTGGAATCACGTTGTTTAGGTTCCCACTGGCCGTTTTCCTTACACAATGGCACCCATTGACCCGGTTCTACAAACACAACAGGCCGTTAACACTCCCCCTTACAAGGAAGTCGGGCTTCATATTACGGTACAGAAATAAGAATAATGCAAGGCAGTGTGCACGGTAGAAAAACAAAAACAAAATCAAACGCTTCTAGTTGAGAGTGACAAGGAAATCAGACCTGTGGAACTAATTTTACTAAAGTCGCTATAACGAGTTACTGCACCGCCTTGCCTAGATTTGCTTCGGCTTGGCCATGGGCTTCTTCGCAGCTGCATTTTCCGAGGTTACGGTAACCCGATTTTAGGCGGCCATTCCTTTCAGACGTCACATGCTTCATGCATACGTGTCGAGCGGTAAACGCACCGTCGTTATACACCACACATAAAGCTACCACAAAACCCACAACCACCATTTTCCCGAGTGCATCCATGTTTATTGCGTAGAGATGTTGTCGGCGGTTTATTGGGAAATACCAAACAGCAGTCGGAAATAAACCGTCCGGCGAGCGACGTGTGCTGTAAAACCGACAAACTGGATGTGTGATATGATAAACGCGCTTAAAGAAGCTGACTTTTGTAGGTTGTAGTACATATAGAAAAGCTTCATATCGCGCGAACACATCAGTAAAGAATCAAGATCAACATCTTCTGTTTATCGCGTTCTGACGTTGCAAAAAAACTTTTGATTATAAATACTGCCAGCCCGGTTTTACCATTCATTTACTGAACGATGGGGTTTGTGATGAAAGATTTTTGAATGTTGCATTAGAGATAAATAAGAAAACTGTTGCCGATTACTTCCGTGCATGGCAATGCATTCTGTCCATAAAGACCATAACATACAGCTTACAGGCGTTATGGTTCCAGATAGATGGATGGTATAAAATCACCATTCACCAGCAATTCGGACGTTCCGTTACAACCGTTACAAGTGCTACTTACGAATTTCTGATTTGTTTAACGGTTGTAACGCCGATTATTGAAGGAACAGCCAAATGGGCTGGGCAAAATAATGCACCTTTCTGCAAATTTTCGCCAAATATGAGAGTGAAATGTCGGAAGAACCGGCAAGCCGCTGAAGATATAGCGATAGTGTGATGTCACTGGCGTACAAATATCAATTATTTGAAGAGATTTTGGATAAATTTGGACATTGCTCTTAGCTGCAAATGTAAAGCTGTTTCCGGCCTTACGGTTTCAGCTGCATTTACACCGGCCGCGCAAATCTAACGTGGACAATTTCTGGATGAGACGCGCCGCCAAGTACCACTTGCCTTGTGCTGAATGATGCCAGGAAGCAAAAATTTCCTGTGTGTGCACGGCCCTTTTGAAACCGGTAACCCCTACCTGTTGAATCTCAGTCCTTTCGAATAAAGCTGTCAACAAAATGTGCGCGCATTGCGTATTTGTTAGGCAACCGCACACGGTGATGGTATTGACAGCAAACGCGATGATAGTTTCTCACCTCCTAATTCCTATAGGGGTCGATCTTGCTTTCTCCGTTTCCGCAACTGCGCAACAAGCATAGACAAAGCTATACGTTTGTAAAACTCCATAAAATTCTTTGCCGTAAGAGAATTTATGATATTTTGAATTTCCCGTTTTAAGATCATCGCTAATTCTGCTTCTAGTAACTTCTGGAACCGAGTTTCTGCGGGTAATATCACAAACCTTCAAGCCAGCAGTGTCCTACTAGCTGTGACTATCAGCGTCGTACCGTGTGTCGAGCACAATATGTCAGAAAATTCATCCTCAGCGAATGGAGCCGCCAATCCGCAACGGCAAGGACAATTTGGCGAATCACTGCGTCGACTATATCCTCCATAATCTTAGTGCTGACACTTGTCTGCGGCATCTGGAAAATGTATGCCTTTTTAATCTCGCCGTGGCAATTAATAGACAATCAGTTAGTTCCACTGTTATTACAGACACTTCTGTGGGGCACTGACATCGCGAATATCGTGGAGAAATGTTTGCATTTCGTGGATACACACTCCGCAGCGGTCTTGGAGTCGGGACGGTTCACTGAACTCCAACACAGTACCTTGCGAAGGATTCTGGAGCGCAACACGTTTCTTGCGGAGCAATGCCTCATCGAAGCAGCCTTGGAAAAGTATGCAGTGTACTTTTTAATTAGTCTAGGGTTGGTTTCTCCCCTTCTTTACTTGTTAACTACAAAACGTGGTCGTATCCATGTATCGATGACAATACTTCGTGTTTAACGACAGCTGACTTAGCTGTGTTTGTCTTGTTTATCGATAAAATGGAAATTGAATTATTCGGAACGCCATCAAATTTGCAGGTGGGCGGTAGCAGCCTGCGCTCGCAGCAATTTATTACCTTCCCCCATTAACCGACGCCACGTATTGGGAGATATTCTTTCGCTGAACCGATACTCAGTTATAACGGACAAGCCGCTGGTGGATGGCGTAAGTTAAGACTGATGGAACTGCATTTAGCAGCCTTAAGACCCCACTGCACACTCGCACGGTTTCATGATGATGCATTTTTCATGTGCACCGCGAAGGAGCCAAGTAGTAACGGAAAGCAGGCTTAGGAAGAAAGCGTGAAGGGTCTCGGGCCAATGATATCACTGCCTGATATAAATGGAAATCCGGTTGCTGTTGAAGCGCATCCGAATCGTGAGACCAGTAGGATTGTTGCTGAATTTTCGCGCAGGTGAAGCTCCATCATTTTTAGTTCTTGATTGAATACGACTAGATAATTTTAAGATCCAGGGCCCCGTCTCGAGAAATCGCCGTTCATGGAGTCGTCAAGCGCGCGTACCGCACTACGCCTGGCTCCGATGATTCGGACGACGTTGATACCGGACAGCAGCGACGGGTGCAGTACCGAGGCAAGCGAGAAGGAGCGGACACGGATGACTCCGACGAAGATCCTACATACCGTGACGATGATCCGCCGGCATTCGGGTCTTCTTCGGAATCTTCATCTGAAGATGACAAGACGCCCAGGAAACGTGTTAACGCCCGTTTTCGGAAAACTATCAACAAGACTTCGTCTAATGCTGTGCCGCCACGGTTAGAAATTTCGAATTTAATTTACTCCAAAAGCATGCAAATACCGTACGTTCTACTTCTTGTTTTCGATATTTCAGGACGTCTTCGCTGACAGCCTCGACTTCAAACCGACATTCTCGCGCAGTCACCAATGGCCCTCGACTTCGAAAGCAGCAAGCGCCGTGCACTGTCGACGTAGCCGCTAACGCTGGTCATTTCGGCAGAGCTTCCAGTGACAGTGTTCATTACGAAACTAATACTGATCCGCCTTCCCCGCCAACTACAAAACAGCGGAAGCGACCTCAAGGTGGACAATTAACAAACAAGCATCGTACCACCCAGAAGTTTGCCAATCGAAAGAAATTTCAAAGAAGCACTTCGAAACGATACTCCTCATACCACCGCAAAAGTTCCTGCGTATAGTTCGTATAATCTCTCAGTTCATTAATCCTGAGCTGCGATGGGAAGTGCCGGCTCTTATCGCCCTGCAAGAATCCGCGGAGATTTTTATGGTTAACCTGTTCGCTGACAGTAATGAAGTGGCTGAGCGCGCCAAACGCATCGCTTCGGCATCGAATTCTGAAGAGATCGGACTTGTATCTACCGCATCCACTGCATCCGTTCCTGCTCCATCAACATCATCCGCTCCTCCGCCCCTTCAAGCTCACAGCGTTCAGGATGCATATAAAGCAGTCAGTCACGGCAGTCCGCGGCTGTAAATGCGGCATTGTTATTCTAACCAACGCGACCGGCGTCGTGCGGAGCGATAGCTCTCTTAATGTGCCAACTTGAATTCCACAATAATCAACTATAGAAGTACAAAATATAATATTAAGAAAAGCTCGTCTGATAATACGAGCTTTTCGTAATATTTTGTACTTCTATAGTTGATTATTGTGTACATTCTGTTTGCAACGACGCCTTTGATCTAAAATTGTTGCTTTGCAAAATGTCTGGTTACTTGCCAGTTTTCAAGAAAATCAAACGCTAACCCAACCAGTCCGCGATGTCCTGTATCTAGTTAAAGGTCACAAAGTCTCTAATGCACTACTCTAGGAAACAACGGCCACTACAGTCTACAGATATCCGCGCTCAAATTGATTCTCAGAACAGCTCGACCTCTAAAGTTAGAAACTCAAACTCGAAAGTTTTTTATCTGAAGTTTTACCTTATATCACAACAAACGTAATGTGCATCAAATTAGAACAAGTATACACGCATCCAACTACAGTAGTTTACACATGAATGAAGTAGGGTGATCGTCCAACTTCTATAGAAAGTACCTGTTGGTCAGACCTTCCGCATGCCGGATCTCGCCACGCGGAAGTGCAGTCAAGGGCGGTTGCCGGTCAGCCAGATGTGCATTCTTATAAATAAATGTGGCCTTTTAGGATGATGTCTTTCCGGGGCTCGAATCGTTGCACATACTTACATATTCTCACACTTCAAATGTACGCGATGCACAGCGCTGCACATCCGTACTGGTGTACCATTGTGACCATAGAGTGTGGCAACTCTTGCGTCAAAACTTTGGTAGCAATCGTGCCATTTCAAAGCGTTACTGGAATTACAGCTTAGGACAAAAAAGACGCATAATCCCACCCACAGCATAATCCCACCCACAGCATTCCGAACGCATGCGGCGCAGTGCGCTGTACGACTCAGCTAAAATATCCGGTTGTCGTACAAGTGCACTTGCCACATGCGTACGGATATCTGGGTGTGGGGTTATGCGTCTTTTTAGTCCTAAGCTGTATAAGGCGGCAAGCCGAAGCCGCTAAAGGGCTTAGCTCTCGAGTGTGAATATCTCATTCGAAGGACCCCTGTTGGTAATTTACTGATGTTGTTTCTTAGGTTTCTGTGGATGGATGCCTGCCGCCTGGTACATAATATCCGGTGTAAATGTGGCCTTTCTGACTGTGCTCTGCGGATGACAGTCTTTTCCGCAACGAATGTGCCGTTTAGAATGACACATTTGGCAGTCACGCTGGTATTCGGCAACAGGGAGCTTTGCAACACCATCCCTGGCGATTATACCACACAAACGACTGCAGCCGTGGCTGACATCTGGCGGAGGTTATTATGCAATATCAAAACTTTAAATAGTGCCGTTAACACCATTACGAGTAGCGAAAGTATTTCCTATAACACGATCCTACCAGGCGGAAGGCCTTAAAAGCTATGTGAGCCGTTTCAGTGGCAGATATGTCTAGACTCGTAAGAAACCGAAAGGTGCATCCCTCGAGCAAGCAGCTGAATGCGGTAACACGCATACTGGCGCATAACCAGGTTCCTCTGACAAAGTCAAAAAGACTGTAGGACGAAGACACTGAACGAGCGATATTTATTTTTACATATTATATTTAGTACATTTATGGATTATAGTTATGGATTTACTGTAATTAGAGCGTAGCGGCACAGTGCAAATCCAAGAAAAATAAAAAATTTAATGCACTTACAGAAATCTACTTACAGAAATCTTAAAAAATTTAATGCACTTACAGCTTTTGTTTTATTCAATCGCATTGAAGACTGGCAGCGGCACCACCACCGGCCTTCTCAGTGATCTGGTTCCCGTTGTTGTCGACGCACCAGGCACCATCGGAATCGTTCTGTTTGCGTTCCCACTGCCCGTCCGCCATGCACAAGGGCACCCATCGATGAGAATCTGCAAATTCAACACGTCGTTAACGGCAGCAAATATAAGGAAGTCTGCGATAATAACTACACCGGTAAAATATTAAATAAGATATGCAAGGTGGTCTGCACGGCCCAAGACCGGAGTGTCCGTAATAAAATCAAATGCCTGCAACTGAGAGTGACATGCAAACCAAACCTCTTGGATTAATTATGCTAAGGTCGCCACAACGAATTAATGCACTGGCTTGCCTGGATGGGCTTCGGCTTTTTCACGGGCTTCTAGACAGCTGCATTTCTCGGGACCTGGTCGAAGATTACGGTAACCCGATATAATACGCCCATCCCTTTCATACGTCACATGCATCATGCATAGCTCTCGAGCGGTAAACGCACTTTCGCTGTACACCGCACACAACGCTACCGCAATACCCACAACCGCCATTTTTACGAGTGCGTCCATGTTTACTGCGGGGATGTTGTCAGGTATGGATCAGCAGCCGGAAATACACGGTCCGGAAGCGTCGTGTGTTGTTGTGCTCTGACAGACTAACAGTGTTGTGTGCTAAACGTGCTTAAAGAAGCTCACATTGTAGCTTGTAAGTAGTAAACAGAAAAGCTGCTGCATATCGCACGAACACATCAGTAAAGTATCAAGATAAAATAAACATTACATGCCCTTCAGACCGTTTCATATGTGTACAAAAAATTTGATTAACAAAACTGCCAGCCAGGCTATGGGATATTCATTTACTCATTTTACTGAATGATGGTGTTTAATTGCAGTTGTGATGTAGATTTTTGAATGCTGCTTTAGCGGTAAATAAAAAACTGTTGCTGATCACTTCCGTGCATTATGAAGTCCAAAAAGCGCCATAACCTGAACGCGTTATACGGTTAGAAATGGATGGTAGGATCGCCTACCGTTCAGTAATGCGGACGTTCCGTGACGGCCGGTACCAGTGCTACTTGCACCATTTTGATTGATTTAACTGTGCTAGCGCCGATCGTTGAAGGAATAGATAGCCAAATTGGCTGGGCAAAATAATGCACCGTTCTGCGCATTTGCGCCATTTATATGAAAGTGGAATGTCGGATGAGCGGGAGCGGGAAAGAAACCCTTTCTTTGACCAACATGCGGTTGACGATATTGCAGTAGTGTGATGTTAGCGGCGTACGAATACCATCAGCGTACGTGGCGTCAGCGGCGGCGCGAATATTATTATTTCAAGAGATTTTGGACAGTGATCCATGGCAGTCATGCTACCAATGTACTGTAGCTCGATCAAGTGGCACCAATCAAGCTCGATGATAGTTTCTCACTTTCCATACGCGGCGATCTAAATGCTTCCCTTGTTTTCCCTGCACTATTCACTTTCTCCGTTCCCGCAGCACATAGATCGACACAGCTCTGCGTCTTCAGTCTTCACTGAGCGCCTCAAGTTCAAACCTGCATTCTCGCGCCGCCACCGATGACCCTCAACTAAGGAAGCGGCAGCCCCCGTTTACAGTCGACAAAGCCGCTATTAATGGTCACGTCGGCACAACTCCGAATGCCGTTGTTCGTTGTGAAATCGGTACTGATCAGCCTTACTCGCTACCTGCAAAACAGCGGGAGCGACCTCAAGCTGACCAGCTAGCGAACAAGAATCGTACTCACCCAGGGGTTTAGAAAAAGCAGCTATTATAGTACAGATAAGTAGAAAGCTAGGAACGCCGCCGCGCTCGAACTAAAACTCAAGACAACTCAAACTCTGTAGTTAAAAACTGAGACTGCAGTTTTTTTTCTCCTAAGTTTTACCTTGCTTCACAATAAATGTACGGTGCATCAAATTATAACGAAAATGCACGCATCCAGCTGCAGTAATTTAGACATGTATGGAGTAGGGTGATCATCTAACGTCTAAGGTATTTAAGTAAATGGTTGAGCGACCTTCCGCATGCCGGATCTCGCTATGTGGAGCTCGAGGTGCAATCAAGAGCGGTTGCCGGTCAGCCAGATGTGCAATCTTATAAGCAAATGTGACCTTAGGATGGTGTCCTTCCGGGCTCGAATCAGTTCAGCAAACGCATAATATAATGCTGCATATTGTAGCGATAGAAGTTGTACAACCATAAGACCACCCAGTTATGTTTCATCATTGCGTTATGAATTTCGGTCCTTTTACCGGCTAGCTGTTCTTCTTCACAATTTCTAGAATTCATTCTTGCCTTAGCTTGCTACAGCTTGCATCAGCTTGATCAGCTTGTTGCGCTTGTTAAACTCTTGTCTAAACCTTGTTCCCTGTCCTGCATTGTTCTTGTCATTAAACATGCCGTGAACTTCCGTTGTTACGTTCAGTAATTGTGTTACGTCAGTAAGAGCAGTCCCGGCCAGCATCGTTGCCGGCCGTGCCAACCTTTCATCCCAACAGCCCACACAACATCGTGGTACGGTCAACACGCCAACCCACTAGAACAGCAGCCAGATCGGCTACTGTTACAATATGTACGCAACACACATCACCAGATCTGGGCAGCTATAACTTAACTGTACTATAGAATTGGGCCGCTGTTGGCTAGTATTAAACAGACCAAAGCGAAGCTAGAAACAGAATTACTTATGGAGGTACAAATACGAGCAGTAGTTGCTTTTGTTGACTGTGATATTCGTAATTGGAGTTGAATTTTTATAATATGGGAATGGTAACTGTAACTTTTGTACTTAAGAAAACTGTAACTCGCTATCAAAAAAACTTAACTCAACGGAACTCTCATAAAAATAATTACACTGTCGTGTGCGCTATTGTAGAGCTCAGTATCAAGAGCATTTGTTATCGAAAAGAATTCGTTTTTTTCGATGACACCAACAGATCATATCTGCTCTGTTGAACGCATTACTGCTCTCTAACCGACTATTTCCATCATTCTGTGATCTGCACAACAGTGTCTTTTTATCGAAAAAATATATCCGGCGACCAAAGGTGATAAAATACTTGACTGACAAAAAAATTGGAAACAAAAGCCAGTAATGTGATAATTGAATAAATGGCCACATAAATTCCTTTCGCAATGCATGAACGATGGTTCAAATGCGATCTAAGAAATGCAGTAACTACATCTATTATTGTACCGGAAGCAATACAACTGGCATAAATAAACAAAAGCAAGTCTTGTATAGAAACGCCACTTGCGAGCGGAAAGGTAATCTTCGCTTGATGTACTAGTACTTACTATAGATATGTATACAGTACTCTATCTACCTTCCTCGTTGGCACTGCAGTTTGTAGCTGACACGTTGATGCTGGCTAAATGGTCAATGCAATACGATTATGCTGTACGAGTACAGTACACGATTAATTTCTGAACTAGACGTACGCTGCTCTTTCCAACAGAAGTATTATCACGCTATGCACTTCATGAATCGGGGATACAGCTCAATTTTCATTGATACGTCGAACGTCGCTGGAAATGCATTGCTAGTTAGTCTACCGACAATTTTCACGTTTCAGTTTATTTGGCTGATGTGTATAATTTTCCTAGCTAGACATGCGGAGATTACAGCGCGGGGTCCGCGCCTATAGGCCGAACAACAAGGCGAGGATGTTCCCTCGTTTGGAGTGGCCCACGCCAGCACCACTACCACCGCCACCACCGCCAGCAAAAAGCGCCAACGAACGGAGAGGCACGCTTAATTTTGTCAAAAATCGCATGGAACGGACGTTAGAGACTGGCGATTTGGCTGACGTCCAGTTCTCCGTTGGCCGGCATTTCGGGCCAGCCAAGATCTTCCACGCGCACAAGTCAGTCAACGTTCTAACGCACATCGCGCTCTATGTTGTCTAAGACTTCATCCTTGAAATTTAACAGGTTCGTGCTAAGCAGCGCTAGCGATGTTTTCTACACCATGTTTTACGGAAGTTTGCCTGAAAAGTGCGATGGTCCTATCGATATTCCGGATATTCTTCCCGAAGCGTTCGATAACATGTTGAGGTAAGCACTACTTCGTATCTCTTTCGTTTTTCCATTAAGAACGTACAGTTTAATACTCTCTTTCTGCCAAATCCAAATATTTTCTGAAGAATAAGCAAATAATAATTCTTTATTCAAGCCAAAATTAACGCAGTACGTACTTAAAGCGCAAATAAATTAGCGCAGTATGTGTCGAGTAACATCAGTTTATGGCGGAAAACCCAGTTTTTTGACAGAAGATGATTTAAGACCGGTTTTATTCTGTGCTGTGATAAAAGAGAAAACTAAATATAAAACTGACACTTTGGTCAGCCGGTGTCTTGGGCTGATGTCTTAAATAAGACAGAAAATCATGATAGGTATATTTATGCCGATGGGCGGAATGAAACAATAAACGATGCGTTCCCCACGTTGATGTGCGCTGATAAATACGACTTGCCACGGCTGGCCGACCGCTGTTTCAACTGCATCCTTCGTGACCTCGCTGATATGAATCGCAATTTTAGCCGTTGCTTGCTGCATTTGGAAAACGTGCGTGCTGCAAAGCTTATTAATGCCGGAACGATCACTGCTGTCTTTTACCCAAATTTTGTATTGTAGGCGCTGATGTGGGCAGTTGGTATTGAAGGTGTCGTGGAAAACTGTCTGCATTATGTGGATGTGCATTGTGAGGAGATCATCAAGTCGGAACGGTTCGCTGAGTTACAACCCAAGACGCTGCACATGATTCTGGAGCGCGACACCTTGTTTGCCGAGGAGAACATCATTTACATGGCCGTTAATAGGTAAGTAACCAATTTAAATTGGCTAATTGGATGATTTGTATCTGTAATAATAATAAATGATAATGCACGTGACCAGCAGCTAGCCGATACGATAAGTGAATAGGGGTCAAACTTCTAAGTAGCCTATCTTGATTGTTTCTCCCTCTGAGTCCCTCAAATACATCGATTTCTTCCGCGTGTTGTGCACTTCCCGTTGCATGAGTATGCGTACGTAATGAACAGGTGTTGCTTGTGGGCATGTGTTGTGGGCATCAATAACAGAAATATTATACTCGTACATATTTATAAACATCACGAGCGTGCTTGAAATGAATAGATCTGAATTTGCACAGACAGATACGGTTGATTGACAGAATGCCTTTTGTTGTCAGCACACAAGGGGTTGTTTGTGACTTGTATGTTTTTGGACTTCAAGCAAACGATACAGCCGGATGAATCATGTACAGCGAAGAACTGCATGGATTGTTATTGCGTGAATTAATCATGGATCTTTACTTGCTTCCGTACAATGCTTGATAAATTCTGTCTGGTAACTTGTATTACGTGCCTTAAGTAACATACGACGAACTGTTTAAACAAAAAATAATGAGATTTAGTACGTAAAGAAACATCACCAATTAAGTTTGAATTAACCATGCGAGTTTGACCGCCTTATTTGCATGAATTGTGCTTAAGATCAAGATCTCGATTTTATATTTTTCTGCCGCCGGAGATCTAGCATAAGCTTTAGAGACAATAAAGGTCATACCTGATTGCTAAATGCCGTATAAAAGGCACTATGTACATCGCACGTTGAAATTTAAAAAAGTGTCTTTGTGTTTGGAAGGGCATTCTTGTGCTACCTCGCAAATCGCATATTCTCCAGACTGTACAATGTACATTGACAGTGTACATGTACGAGGCAGCAAAGAAATTCCCTTACCAACAGATTCTGTTGGCTTTAACTATTGCCTGTTCTACATAGCCGGTGTAGCCAAAGAATAATTGTCATTAACTGAGTCCGTTTTATATTTTATGTCTAGATGGGCTTCGGCATGCTGCATTCGGAACAATTTAGAACCAACACCGCAGAACCGGAGACAGGCTTTAGGAGAAATCTTCTTCCTTATCAGATTTCCTTTGATGACCGTCACACAACTCGCTGACGGTCCCGTGAATGTAAGCCGCGATGTGGGTTCTAGCCTTTGACAACAGTTTTAACTTGGCATATTATCATTCCTTTATATGTTTAGGATTCGTTGCTGCTTCCAGAAGACTTACAGGCCATTCACCTTCATAAGCATGCCACTGAGAAGCCCCCTCTGCGTTTCTCCACGTTGCCCCGACGGTCCCCAGTCATCCGTGTTGGAGATTTGGAGTTCAAGCACGAGGAGGAGGTATTCGTGAATGATCGGCAGTACTGGTGTCCTTCGGAAGTGATCGGAGTATGTGGGTCGGAAGCCGTCTGTATGGCCTTGAAAGCCGATGGAGACCACGTGGTGAAGCGAGGCACGGAGAATATCATTCGCGCATCGGATATTTTGACCGCCGATCAGGACATTGGATACGGGATCTGGTGTCAAGATGTACAAGCAAAGTACAGCGGGCTAACAAACGGTTGTCATTTCGTCACATTCGACGACAATGAAGAAGAGGTGTCATTCCGCGAAATTTTTCTCCAGAACGGACAAGTTGATGCATGGCGAAAGGCCTTTGATGAGAGCGAAAAAGGGAATAGCATTAAGAAACGTTCTTTGGATGCCGCTGACCTGGCTTAGGCCTTAAGCTAGCTTATGCACTACTAACACCGTAATTCGCTTCTTATATTGTTTAATTCCACGAATAAACGCATGAAACATCGTTTTAGTGTTTATAATTTACAAAATCGTTGCACTTTAATGCTTACCCATTTATAATCAGAACTGTTGCTGCGGCACTATACCGCACCCTGTATCTGTAAAATGTAAATGCAGTTATTTAAATAGTCTGTCTATTGATAATCGTTTTACTTCAAGATTACCGATTGTGTAACGATTAAACAAGTTAAATTTCCTCTAGCCTAATTACTAATAATTTAATGCTACAAGAAAGAGCTGCTAACTCATTACTTTTACATATCATATTACTGTTACATTACTGTTACATGTGCGCTTCTGCTGCAGTCAACGACGATAGGCGGAATTCCATACATTCCGGGTATAATATGCGCTAGTGAATTAATTTGCTAATAGCCGTACATGAACCATGTCCGAAATTGCACTTTTATCTCCACGAAGAGAAAAACCAATGCGACTGAAAATGCCGGTACTGCATATATTAAAACGCGCCGCCGCACTTAGGCGGAGGGTTGCGGGTCTAAGTTGTGGGCGCCGCACGGGGGCGAGACGTCCGGCGTCAAACAGTCCACGATAAGTTTCTCCCGCAGGCGGCGGTCTGAACGCTTGCTCACTTTCCGTTCCACTTCTCATTATCTTCGTACCCGCTAGTGACGCTACGGGCTCTCCATTTGATCAACTCTCTCGTCGTACGAGAACTCGTACGTGAGGGAGGAAATTATCTGCCGTTTGTAAATTGTGAGCCCCATTTTCTTGTTATATCACAAGTTCTGCAAGCTAATTTGTAAATATACTGTGCATCGAACACGACATGTCTGAAAATTCGATGATACCGTAATTTGGCGGAAGCGCGCGCGCCAAATTTTCTGTTTTCGTCTGTAACTCTGGAAGTTTTGAGTTTCCTCAGTCGGGACCAACATTTTTAGATTCAGGAAGAAAAGTTACATATAAAACACTTAAAAGTAGGTCAGTAGGTCGCGCCCGGTATAATAATAGTAGGTCGAAAATTCGTCTGCATCGAATGGAGCCGTCAGTCCGCCGCGGCGAGGCACACTTGGAATCGGCGAGCGAATGAGACGCATGCTGGACAGTGGAGATTTATCCGATGTGCAGTTTAAAGTAGGACGGCACTTCGGGCCAACAAAGATCTTTCGGGCACACAAGTGAGAATTCGCAGCATGATTCTCTGTAACTTTGCTGATGCTCCGACAATACTCACTATTTCGGACCTTTGGCCCTTGGGATGTTTTTACCCATACACAAAATTCTCCATGATTTCACTTGTGTGCATCTTGCCGATATGTTCTGTGTAGCAGCAGCGATGCGTTTTACGCCATGTTCCACGAGAGTACTTCCGAGAAGTGTAACACGGCCATCGACATTCCCGATATTACTCCCAAAGCCTTCCACAACATGCTAAAGTAAGTGTGTTGAGTCTGCAGTTCGTCAGTAGAATCGTCTGCCTACAGGTCATTTTGTACTTTGCAGCTTTATCTATACCGAAAGGATCGATGTGGATTCTGACGATGTTTTCCCGACGATGAAGTGCGCTGACAAGTACGACTTACCAAGGCTGGCGGTTCTCTGTGTCAACTATACCTTAGCGCTGACACTTGTCTGTGGCATTTTTAAAATGTATGCCTTCTCGACAGGTCATCGTCGTGGTGGTTAATTGACGCTATTTTTGCTGATCTTATTAGGCACTTGTGTGGGGGATTGACACCGGAAGTATCGTGGAAAACTGTTTACGTTTAGTGGATTTTCATCATAGAGCGGTTTTGGAGTCGGAACATTTCATGCGACTCCAGCACAGTACGTTGCGAAGAATTATGGAGCGTGACACCTTCGTTGTGGATGAGCACATCATCGAGGCAGCGCTGGAAAAGTATGTATGCCTTTTGATCACGTTTGGTAGCTAGCAGTTAAAAGTTATCGAAAGCAATGAAGCAGACTTGTACGTGTTTAACGGGCGTTTGTCAGCGGCAGAAAGGTTTACGGGTTAGTGGTTCACGATCAAAGAAGCCGCGTAAACCTTTCTGCTGAACTGCATTAACCTTTCTGCCGGAGCCGTAAACCTTTCAGCCGGCGGCACCTCTGAAGCTTAAACCTTTCTGCCGGATGCGTAAACCTTGTTCATTGACAGCGTAAACCTTTCTGCTGGGCCATTATTTTCAATCTATGATTCTACCAAGGACGTTATTATGTGCATTCAGGCACATTAACCTTCCGGATAGCCATCAAACATACGCAATCTTATAATAAGACACTTTTGAAGCAGTTTTCAAGCTTGGCTGTTGTTAAGGGAAATGCCCCTGCCTCGTTGGACACAGAATATGCGTCTTTAAAACGCCGGACTACACTAACAATTTCAGCAGTTTTTTTAAGTGAAAATATGAACCATTTTAAGACGTGTATGCACTTTTTTTATTGAAGGCTCTCACCAATAGAACCAAATGATTTTTTATTAAGCGATCAAAGTTTTAATGCGGCGAGCTACTGCCCGGTTTCCGCCTATAACAGCCATACATTTCAATACGTGTGTTTAGTAATGCTATTGCTCGCCGGGCCAACTTTCAACCCTTCTGTGCAAATAAACAGAACACTGGAACAGCAACAACGTGAGTACGAAATGAATACGGCATGTCCCTTTCCAGTGAGGCCGCATTTATTGTCGTTGCACACCTCTTTATGACTGCTTGCGGGCCTTAATGCGCACAATAACGTCTTTGTAACATCACAGAATGGAAACAATGGCCCCTCAGAAAGGTTTACGCAGTTTGACGGAAAGGTTCGCATCAAAGTTGCCGCCGGCAGAAAGGTTTACGGCTCCGAAGAAAGGTTAATGCTTCAAAGGTGCCGCCTGCAGAGAGGTTTACGGATCCGGTTGAAAGGTTTGCGCTGTCATTGAAAAAGGTTTACGTATCAATGAAAAAGGTTTACGTATAAATGAAAAAAGTTTTTTAGCATAAAACCTTTCTGCCGCACCATGTGCCGGCATATTGTTCTTAACCAAGAGACTGCACTGTCGACAATTTTTTAAACTCCGCGTTTATGTTGACCGTAGACAATTTCGCTTTACAGTGGGCGGATTTTTTAGAATGTTTTTTCTAATCCAATCTGATTTGTAAGATTTACTACTTTTCAAGAACGATCTAGTTCTGCCACTGGTTGAACACCTACGCACAATGGTCCGAATGGCCATAGTGGTGTCATTGTCTTTTCAATGGATGCTGCCAACAGTCCGGCAGAAAGGTTTACGCATCCGGCAAAAAGGCTTACCCTTCCGGCAGAAAGGTTTACGCGGCGCCTTTAATCGTAAACCATTAACCCACAAACCATTCTGCCGATGACAGGCGTTTAATACCACTGGTAACTGCTAAGTGTACTCTCTTGTGGCTGCCTCGCTTGTTAATAAAACGGAAGTGAATCCACTTCTTAAATGTTATGTTGCACAATGTCCAGGTGTGCGGTAGCAGCTTGCGCTCGCAGTAATTTGTTACCTTCACCCACCAACCGACGCCGCGTACTGGGTGATATCCTTCTCCTCAAGCGATTCCCGCAGATGACGGACCAGCAACTGGCGGATGGTGTAGCTGGTGTAAGTCACATTAATGGACTGCATATCAGCACGTGATTATGCATTTTATATGTGCATCGCGTAGGAGCTAAAAGCAGGCTGCGGAAGGCAACGTGAAGGATCTCGAGCCCGCAGTACCACACCCTGATATAATCGGTAATCCGGTTTGTTGACGCGCATCCGAATCGTGGGGTCGGAGGAATCGTAACTGAATCTTCACGCAGGTAAAGCTCGACGATTTTTCATAATTCCGGATTGAAGACAACTAGGTAATTTTCAGATCCAGGGCTCCGTCTCCCGAAATCGCTGTTCATGGAGGCGTCAAGCGCGTGTGCCAATCTGCACATGGCTTCGATGATTTGGACGACGCCGATACAGAGCAGAAGCGGCGGGAGCAGTACCGAGGCAAACCAAAAGGAGCGGTGTCGGATGACTCCGATGAAGATCCTACGTACGGTGAAGACGGGGGTCCGTCGGCATCCGGATTGTCTTCAGAAGCTTCGTCTAATAATGACAGGACAACCAGGAAACGAGTTAACAACCATCGCCGGAAAACTATCAACAAAACTTCGTACAATACTGGATTATTGAGGTTAAAAATTTTGAATAATTTGTCAGATAACTTGCCAAGAGAATTTATGTATCATATATACGCTCTGTTCTTCGTTTACTAAATTTCAGGACGTCTTCGCTGAAAGCTGCAATCCCAAACCGGCATTCTCGCGCAGCTGCCGATGGCCCAGGCCAACGAAAGCCGCAGTGCCGTATACTGTCGACAAAGCTACTGACGCTGGTCAACCCGGCACAACTTCGAATGAAATTGCTGACTTTGAAATCAAAGCAGATGAACTAAACCAACAGCATCTTCGCTCGGAGGTTATCGAAATCGGAGAAACGAAGAGACTTCCCACGCAGCACGTGGAAACGATTCTCATCATACCACCGCCAAAGTTCTTACGCATAGTTCGAATTACTCGCAAGCCATTAATTCCGAACTACGCTGGGAAGTCCCGGCATTTATCGCGCTGCAAGAATCCGCGGAGACGTTTAGGGTTAAGGTGTTCTCGGACAGTATGGTTGCCTCTGATTACGCCGAAAGCGTCCCTGTTATGGACAGAGATTCTGCCCTGGTTGCGAAGTTGACGGAATTATATCGCATTCCAGAGCCGTCGGCAGTCCGCTGTCCTCCGCGTAAGCGGGAAATAGCTTCGGCATCTCGTCTGAAACCCCGCGGGCGGCATGCTTCACATCCGCTTCTGTTGCGTCAGCTTCCCCTGTACCTTCTCCGCTATGAGTCCAGAGCTTTATAGTTTAAAGATCAAAGATGTATCAGCGGTCAACAACGACAATTCGCGGTTATAAATTCAACGCTGTCGTTCCAGCCAACGCCCGACGCCAACGTTCCGACGTTGTGAGACTTTTTTACGCAGACTAGGATGCTGTTATTTGTGCACGGGAAATTTGAGGGAATGTATTCTTAAGATAAGATTCTTAAGCATTTTGTATTCGTTGTGGATAGCCAT